GGAAGACCTTAATAATAATAAGAATAATAACTAGATGAAACTCGTTGCGAGCAACGAGAGGTCTTCCGTCCGATTCCGAAAAAAAAACGTAAAATCGAGCTGAAAATGTAAAAAAAGATTTGCACACAAGGGGATTGCACCCAAGTCGCCAGCATAAAAATCCAACGCACTAAATATTACACTATCAGGACATCTACTCTACGAAGCAGTGCCTCTCTCTTAAAAGTATGAAAGGTGGATCACTATTCAAAATTTAGCGCCAAACGCTAGGAGTTAATCTTCGCGCCTTTTCTCTGGAATGTTCTATTAAATAGGTGTGATAGCTTCAATGAAATTTAAAAAAAACGTTCTTATAGCCTTAGATTCGAGGTTTAGAAAGTATATATAACACATTTTACAAATTCCATATTGTATATAGGCATGTAACACTAAAGCGGTGAAACTGTTATGAATTTTTAACTTTTTTTTCAATTTCCTGTTTATCCCTAAAGTGAACTATCCCGATTAGTTAATCGAAAGAGGTCGAAAAACATGGCTGGCCCTACGACGGTCAAGGAATCAGATATCATTCATGCTCAATAGCTTGAATCAGGTCTTTGAGACAAGAATTCTAAAATAAACTCCATGAAGAGATCTTTAAAAAATCGTTTTCTTATTTCTGTCTTATTTATTAGTTTAATATGACACAAGTGTGCATAGGAAAAACGGTGGTTAAGATCTGAACTTTCAATATTAATTGATATTCTTTTTTGAGAATGTATTACTTATAAGTATGGTTTAAGATCTGTTTTTCCGTGATGCATAAAAGATATAAGGTATCGAATTTCATTTGCACATTTAGTCTTTTCTTTTTCTACTTTGAGAACCAGTCAAAACCAATTATAGAAGATGTTAGTTTGACACAGAACTGCAACTTAACTACGACGTGACAATCCAAGTATTGCTTTACATTTCATTTATCCATATGTTACTTTCGTTCAAGCAAACGCTCGGCTGCCTCCGTAAACCCCTATTGCGAAATGTCGGCTTTGACAGAGACAACCGCCATTTTGGACTCGCTTCAGATTTTTGAATGCTAATATCTAGAGTTTAGATTTATCAATATTGAAACAAATTTTATAGAAAGCATAAGAAGAAAGGTTTCTATCAACATACCAAAAATAAATGAAAAATATGGAAAAACAAAAAAGTTAGAAAATGCAGACTTTTTAATTTCGCTTCTTGTAACGACCGGAAGTATTGACGACGCACAAAAAGGTAATTCTGCAAACCACAAAGTCATGATCTATCATCTCCAAGAAGTCTCCAGTTCATATCCTAAACCGTTTTCGATAAAAAGGGGCGACAAAATCGCATTTTAAAATCAGAAAAGTGTCCATAACTTGGCACCAGAAGCGAATTTTCCAAATTTTGCATCGGAAGTAACAACTACATATTATAACTCATATTTTGTGAAAGTTTCATGAAAAACCGCTGAATACTTTTCGAGAAATCGCCTGCACAAAATTTTGTCTAAAAAAGAATAAGAATAATAAGAAACAATACAATCACTATAAGGTCTTCCGTGAAGACGGAAGACCTTAATAATAAGAAACAGAGTAAAAACAATATGTTCCCCAACTTCGTTTGGGGAACATAACTAGAAAGTCTGCTATTGCAAGCAATAGCATATGTCGCCCCGTATTAGACAAGACTTTCATTTTTATCATCACTAAAACAAAAGTCCATAAGCTAAGTTTGAACAACCATTGAGTTATATCAGTCCTTTCCATTGGAAACGGAAGACCTTAATTCGGTACATCCCACTCATTATTTTTAGAATCGGTAGGAGAAGAAAGTAGTGCAGGAAAATTACAAGTTCCTCAATTTGCAGACTTGCATAAAAGAAATCTGGCAGATGTACTGAACTGAGCCTCATACTTGTTAATTGGCAGTATCTTTCCTATGATAAAAGCTTGGGAAATGTAATTTATGAAGAAGATCAGCCGAATTATTTTGTGTATTGTAACGCCAGTGAGAACTCTGAAATTTCCCTCTTTCACTTTCATTTTAGAGGTTCTACCAAAAAACGAATCTGACATGCCACCATCAATTCGAGCATTTCTGCATTGCAGAGAGCTGATGTGTGTTATGAGATGATAAATCATGAGTGAACTTTCTCAGTTTAGCGGAATCATGAACATTTTCGGCGAGATGAATGTTTTGTATACAGTGGTGATCAAGGCTTTGCGAACCATCAGGAGCGGATCAAAGAATTTATGAATGAATAAAAACTATGGAAATGACGTACCAATTTTTTAATTTATACTTGCACTATCTAATGAAATGAATAATATACAAGTGATAGATATACAAGAAAACGCGAAATGATAATAAATGCAGCTGACAATCGTTATTTTTTTTTATATAGATAAAATAAAATATTTATAAATTCAAGAGACAAAACAGAAGGAGAATGAATGATGGCAAAATATCACATGACGGGAACTGAATTTTATGAATGAAGATTTTAAAAAGTTACTTGTAAGTTGTATATGTTATATCTGTGTATTCTACTTGGCTGTGTGCTTCAAAAAAAAAAGGGGGGGGGGTCGTCTTGAACATAGTAAATAGCCATAACGTTTGAACGGTAAGTACTAGGGCTTTCGTATTTCAAATATGTAATCCTTGTGAAAAGAACTTTTATTGGATACGACGAACTTTGACCCTTTGACCTAGACCTTGGAGAACACATGTGTACATCTGAATCTTTTTTTCTGTTTCGTTTCTATGGCAACCGTGAGCGACTCATTACAATTATTTTGAAAGTAGAAATCACTTTGACACATTGCAAGGAATAAACATTGAAAGTTTCAAAACGATTGCCTGAGTAGTTATTGAGAAAATCGAAATTAAAGAATTTTAACTTTCACCTGGTTTCCATGGCAATAATCGATTATATAAAAATTTTAAGAGAGGATGTCACGAATCATCAAGCTTCAGATGGAAACTTAAAATTTTAACTTCCTGTTTTCTTATATTGGTTGGAAAGAGTGTTCATTGTACACAACTTTCACATATATGAAAATGATGTTTGACCAACAAAACTATTATTTATCTACCTTCTTATGTGTTGCCATGGAAACCACCATGAGTGAAGGAAAAAAAGCTTAAATTTTAACTTTTTTGGAAGAATATTTTTACAGAAAGAATACTGATATCACCCAGAACAAACTTAATGCAAACTATTAAAGATATATAGTGTACAAAAAAGTTTCAAAGCAAATGTAAATACCCATGCATCTGTTGCCATGGCAACACAAATAGTATATAGTTGAACAAGGTGAAAATTTAAATATTTACCTGTCAAGTTAAAACTAATATATATAAAATCTACAACAGGTTCAGCATTTAAATGAATTTTATTCTTGCACAATACATGTTGATCTTCAAGACTAACATAAAAAATTGAGAAGCATTTTTACTACTTTTGTGGGAAAACTGTTCAATTTCATGTTTTAATTCTTTAAAAAATGCTTAAAATCCACTTCCAATATTTTAGGAATATTTTAAATTTCTTCCAAATTGATACAATTGTATGTTTAAAAGCTATCATACTCTTGCATCATTGATAAATATAGTGAAATTTTGGGATAAAAATCCTGTAATGTGCCCATAGCAACCAAATTTACTGCATAGCAACCAAGACAATTTCGAAAAATCATGTCAAAAAAAAAGAGGTGAACAGGTTTTCTAAGTATAAATTAACTGAAAAACCTTTTTTTTCTTACAAAAAAAATTAAATATACTGAAATTTATACATTGATCATATTCTGTGCATAGCAACCAAATGAGGTCCATAGCAACAGAGCTGAATAGACATTTTGTTATTCATGAATTATCAATAAAAACTATTGATGATACTCCAAAAGAATAGTTATGGGAATTCAAACGGATAATCTAAGTGTGCATCCTTAGATGCAATATTTATGTAATTTTGGTCTTGGGTTTTGATCTACCATAGTTATGAATAAAACTAAGAAGCAAATTCAAGGACACTGTTCTACTAACTTTATGGAAAGTAGTATGGATGGTGAAAGGTGTCGTAACAAATTAGTGAAATCTCTCTCTCTAATATTTTGCTAAAATTTAATTATTATGAGAGTGGTTATCTTTAAAATTGATAGGTATCTAATAAAAAGAATTTGATAACAAAAACAATACAGCATATACAAATTGAAAATGGTCTAGCAACCAGAATCAGATCATAGCAACAGTATAGTGTTAAGACAGAAATTGATCTATTTTTTCATTTAATAAACTTCATACTCATTTAAAAATTGTTTATACACATTTTTAATAGATAAGTTGATTACATTTTACACCAATTAAATATTTCTAAAAAATATTAATATTTTCCCTTAGCAATATATATCTGACCATAGCAACATTGAGTATGAATGAGCAAATAATGACAAAATTTGTCTCTGTGTTCCCCAGTCAGTAGAAAGGTTATAGGCTTTTGAAAGAAATTGCAGTATGATGGTGTCAGCAGAATCTGAAGCAGTCTTCAATAAAGCATCCAGCAGAAGAGAGCCTTGACCTGGTGCAAGGACATTCACAACCTCTTGAAAAATTTATTTAGCTGATGATATATAATCACTTTTTGTACGGTCAGATGCTTTATTCCAATCTGCTCTGAGTTGCTTCTTTACTGGACTTAGGCCACAACTTTGCAGGAAAGTGTCTAGAGCTTTCCTCATGATATTCATGTTTTCTAGGTAATCACCTCCCTCCTCTTCTTCCTATGTACTGTAAATCACTTAATTTTCGCGACACCTTATTTTCGCGAGAGATTGTCATTGACTCTTTATTAACAAGACAAAATTTTCACGAATTGTGATCTTTGCTCTATATAATCTTAAGAAATTCTATTATACGCGAGAATGAAATTTACGCGAGCATACGGTTTCGCGTAATTACGCGAAAATAAAGTTCTCGCGAATAAAAAGTGATTTACAGTATCTTGACTGCTTGGTAACCAGAGGCTGCCTTGTGAATTAATGGACACTTGCGTATTTATCTACAAAGAAAATTTCATTGTAAGACACCAACTTAACCAAAATTGAAAATTTTATACCCTCCTATCAATAGGACATGGTCCTCAAAATGGCACAAAGTTTGTTTGGATTGATACTCTGCTTAAGGAATGACTAATTCTTGGCCAAATTTTCCATATAACCTGGTTTGGTTGAGCTTACGCTTGGGATTATAAAAAAGTGTAAACTGACCCAAACTAGGCTATACCCGAATAATTTGGCCAAGAAGGCATTCCTGATAATTTAATTTTAGAATAAACAAATGTGGATGTAAAATTGTGCTGTTTTTTATGAGTTCAAATTTGCTGCTCAATAATACAACCATAGTAACGGAAGTGATGGGAAACAAGGGGAGGTAATAACTGATAAACAGAACTAGCAGCAATGATGTTTGTTTACATGTGGTAAGATCGAGTTACTTTTTTGAGTCTAAAGGTACACTTATTAAATCTGGAATTTTCCATGAATCCCGAGGACTGAAAATGACGGGATAGCATAGATACAGATCAGTTAGCTGGTCGTCAAGGGGGTGTGTCCTCATACTAAACCAGATTATACAGAATAATTTGTGTTCCTTTTTGGAAATCAACCAATGAGAAGGGAGAATACAAACAAATTTAAATTATTTATGTATAGTGATAAAATAATGTGGAATTTCTTCAGTACTTTTGGTAATAAGCTTGGACAGATATGTTATGTTATCTTACCTTGAATGATTTTAAAATTCATTTTATTGTAAATGTTGTGAAAAATTTAATATACATGTATGTTTATATAACATTTAAAACAAGAGGCCAAGGGGCCACATCGCTCATCTGAGCAATTGGATTGATTGATTGTATATTGTTTAACGTCCCTCTCGAGAATTTTTCACTCATTTTGAGACGTCACTGTATGCTGGTGAAGGGCTTCAAATTTTGACCTTTACTCAGCACTCAGGGCCACTGAGCAATGAGGGATCTTTATTGTGCCAACACCTGCCAGTGACATGGGGCCTCGGTTTTAAGGTCTCATTCGAAGGACCCACAACTTTCACTTCAAAGTGCCCAGCACATGGCTAAGGAACAGTTGCTACCCATTCTAACAACTAGGTCAGTCGTGGCCAAGATACGAACTCACCACCTCCCGATCAAGGAGCGAGCGCTCTACCGACTGAGCTACCATGAACAGTGAGCAATTGGAAAAAGTACATATCAGATCAGAACTGAACGTTTACTAGGGGGGGGGAGGGGGGGGGGGGCTTGAACTTTAACCCCTCAGGGGGCCATGATTTTAACAAACCAAAAATCTACACTACCTGAGGATGAATCCCTATAAATATCACTAAGCATGGCTTTGAAGTACTTGAAAAAGATTTTAAAAGGTTTCCCTATATATTCCTATGTAAAACTTAGATCAGCCATTTTGGCCCCAGCCTACCCTCGGGGGTCATGATTTGAACAAACTTGAATCTACACTACCTGAGGATGATTCCATGTGAGTTCAATCTTTCCTGGCCCAGTGGTTCTTGAGAAGAAGATTTTTAAAGATTTTTCCTATATATTCCTATGTACAGTAAAACTTAGATCAGCCATTTTGGCCCCACCCTACCCCTGGGGGTCATGATTTGAACAAACTACACAACCTGAGGATGATTCCACATAAGTTTTATATTTCCTGGCCCAGTGGTTCTTGAGAAGAAGATTTTTTAAAAATGCCATTAATTTTTCTCTCATTCATAATTATCTACCCTTAGAAAAAGGCCTTGCCCTTTATTTGAACAAACTTGAATCCCCTTTACCCAAGGATACTTTGTAGCAAGTTTGGTTGAAATTGGCCCAGTGGTTCTTGAGAAGAAGATGAAAATGTGAAAAGTTTACATTGACAACGACGACAACGACGACAGACAACGGACAAAGTTTGATCAGAAAAGCTCACTTGAGCCTTTGGCTCAGGTGAGATAAAAAGGATATTTAGGTTGATAATTTTATAAGTAAAAACATCCTTTAAGAGACTTGTAACCAAAAAAAAAATTCAATCTTATATCTTAAATTGCTACTTACAATCTGATCAAAATCATCTGTATTTGTGCTTGGATTTACAACATCAGATGTTTGTGAATAACTGCTGAAAGGTATCCTATGAACTGTGAGTTCTTGATTTACAGATGAGCCTCCATCTTCTTTGATTGTGTCTTGTACAACAGTGTTTTCTTTTCCTAATGTCTTGAAAAAAAATAGTTAAAATAAAAAATTAAATAAGTTAAAAAATTTATGAAACTTAGAAATATGTCCATAGGACATGAATGCCCCTTCAAGGGTATATTAGTAATGGAACATGAAAATTTGTATTAGTGTATGAAATTTGATCAAAACATCTTTAAAAGTGATGCAGTTGAGTTGCTTACATCAGTATATATCAGCATATGAAGTTTGACACTAATTTCTATAAAGTGAGGTCAAGGTCAAAGGAAATGGCAAGGCCAAAAACATTTGATGCAGTTGAAAAGTTTTTATCAGTATGTATCAAAATATGAAGTTGAAAAGAATGGTTTCTTTAAAACTGACTGAAATACAATTTGATAAAAGTGAAGTCAAGGTCAAAATTGTTGATGTAGTTGAATTGCTTACATCAATACATATTAGCATATGAAGTTTTACACTTATTATGAAAGGTAAGGTCAAGGTCAAAGGAAAGGTCAAAGTCAAAAAATGTTGATGCAGTTGCAAAGATCTCATCAATACCTATCAGCATATGAAGTTTGATGAAAATATATTGGATAGTTTTTTTGAAACAAAGCTTTGCACTGAGGTAAACGCAAAGTGTGACGGAAGGACAGATGGAATGACGGAAAGATGGAAGGGAAGAAGGATGGAAGACAGACATGACAAACACTATATGGCCTGGCCATATTCATAAGGGGCATAAAAATATAACCCCCCCCTCAATATTTAAAATTAGAAAGTATCAAAGTAAAGCAATAGGTCACTTAAAATTCTAGGGTAAACAATTAATTAAAATTGATCAATGTCAGACCTCAATATCATTGAGCTTAATTTACTTCTTAGACAGTACCAGTATACTAGATTTGAAAGTTGTTCTCAATATAATGAGCTAACAAGGGCTTCCAATATCTAGTGTCCATGTTTTATGACCCTTGATTTCTGATCTTTTCACTCATGGTTCAAAAGTTATGGTGGAAATTCGAAAAAGCTATTTTTAGCATATTGGTTACATTTTAATTTACATCATAAGGTCATTGATCTTGGTGTCATTTGAAAGAACTTAACTAGTGTAGGATGCTTACCAAACATGAAGTCATGTATGATTATCTCCTATGGTTCAAAAGTAATTGTGAAAGTTCGAAAAAGTTATTTTAAGCATATAGGTCACAATCAAGGTTACAAGGTCATTCACCTTTAAGTCATTCGACAGAACTTAATTAGTGGAGTGTGCAAACCAAATATGAGGTCTCTGTTTATCATGGTTCAAAGGTTATGACAAATGTTAAAGTTGACAACAGACAGAAAAACGGACATACAGATAAACAGACAGACAGACAGGACAAAAACAATATACACCCCAGATCTATCAATCCAAGTGCATAAAAATTCTGCTTATATGGTAAAACCTATTAGGAATACCCTAGCTATCATACATTATTTGCATAGGACTTTAAATTTCTAAACTGAATCAAATAATCCTTTACTGACCTTTTCAATTCCTAAAAGCATTTTGTTTAAAATTGTTACACTACATTTAAAACTTTCCTACATAAGATATGCAAAAAGTTTAAAAAATTTCAAGAAGTTCCTATTATCCCACTTTACTTATCTGTATTTCTCCGTCAGAAATACTAAGAACCATCTCAAAATTCATGATAAATGATCAATTTGTAGAGCATTCTCTATAATGAGACCTTAACATGTAATTTATATGTTTTAATTATAAACAGGCACGTCGCAATAGGGGGACCAGAGGGGGGGGCTGTCCCCTTTTTTTTCTAAACATAAATTTCAGCATTGAAAATGTTCACTGAAAGGTCGGTTGGGTCCCCTCCGGCTCCCCCCTCTTTTTGTTACAGTAAAGTGAAATAATTGTGTGAATAAAATTTGGTACTGACAGAAGTTGACCTCTAACCCCTCTTCCCTCCTTATTTTCTTATTTAGAAAATAAATATTCTTAAAACAACAAAAAAAAAAAAAAAAAAAAGAAACAGAAACATTTTGTTTGTTTAATTTTCATCTTTAAACAAAAATTGGTGGTTCTGCTTGAAATCAAGTTTTTATATGACAAAGACCCAAAATAATACAAAATTTTAGCATATAAACAAGAAATCCAACACTACTTAAAACCATGTATAGGGTGTCAAAATCCAAGGCACTGGGGGACCAGGCACTGGAGGATATTATATACATGTAACTTTTGGCAAAAAATTGAAATTGACTTCTGAATGTAAAAAAAAAAAACTAAAAAGGGATTTCCTTAAAAATATCAAAGAGAAACTACGAGTATTTGAAGTATCAAAGAATCCATATGCGACAAGCTTACTAACACAAATTCTGAGAAAATTCGGTCATTTCTTGATATACTACACTGAATGGATATGCACAGGATATTATGTTGTGTTATATCCCATACACTTTTACTTACAGGAGTCCGTGTATTCTTTTTAAAGCTCATATTATCATTACCATGATTAGCCTAAGTATGGCATTAACGTTAGACTTTACCAAGTGTTTGGTCGTCTGCAGACAAATTACGTTCCCTAAATTTTTAATTACTGTTTTTTATGATATGAATTTAGATCTTAAATCTGTATACTTAAGTTCTACTTACATGAATAGTCTGCTTCCCAGTCAGCTCAAGCTCTGATCCACTGTAGCCCCGTTGTTACAGACCCAACACAGAGCTCATCAGCCAAGTTTGCCGCCATATTGCATATTGTTTACACAAAAGATTCAGCTAAGGGAAGTAACTCTTAGAATTTTTCAAGCGCTTTTAGTGAGGTAAACGTTCCGAAAATTTGCTCATAAAAATTATCTGCAACAAATGCTTCTCATTTTTTTGCCGAATCTTTGTAGAAAAGGAAGTGTTTGTTTAATTTTTAATACCAGATTGAGATAATCTTGTTGTAGATTAAAGAATTTAATTCTTATTTTGGCTTAATTATTTAAGACAAAGCTAGCATAATAGAGGCATAAAAATATTTTTTTTAATTTCTAACCAGTGATGTTTAGTGGTAAAAATATAAGAATTAGTTTCTATGCTTATGTGTTTTAATTTTGATTTAATAATATGTGACACCTATGTATCTACAAATGAAAAATGTAGTAAATATACGTTCACCGATATGGTTGCACACTTGGGGATGTTTGGTCTTGGTTTCCATGGCAACGGCTCACAAATGCCACATGTTTTATAGCAAAATGTTTTCAGCGCATCCCAAATGTTTCACTATCAATGCCATTTAAAAAATAAAATTTTTCAAGTTTCCATGAACGCAGCTAGGATAAGGCTGCCCGTAAAATATCAAACTGTTCAAACTGTACTAAATTCGCTGAACTACCTAGATATGACGTCATAATAGAACATGACGTCAAGTCACTGCATACTTGGGCTGACATGACGGGGAAAGTGTCATAATTATCTCATGGCATGTAGATTTATTTAGGAGACTTATTGTTTAATTCAAGTGTAAGAATTTTTTGTTAAGCTTGAGTTTGCTGTTTTGATTTGAACATTTGAAATTTGAATATCCCTATTCTTGTTGCTTGTCCGATATGCACATATTCAAACAATAGCAAAAATAATGTGTGATACACTCCCCTTACACGTCCGTAGACAGAGTTGAAATTTATGAAGCGTGTTTATATTGGACTGGCACAAGTGATAAACAAGGACAAATTGAAGATATTCTGTGTGAATCTACAATAGAAGTATGTCCTTTAACTGAATTTTGCTGGGGGATTGTGCGTAGTTTATCCATTTTTGTATAAATCGCGATAAAGAGTGGAAAATACCCCTTTTTATGATGGTAAGGTGAATTTCTCGTAAAATATTTTCTAACCAAGTTAAAATTAAACCAGCCCCCAGCACTTTCTATGTACTAGAGATCACGATGAATTGATCTATATAACAAACTTTGCACAATATTTTTGTTTTGCACTTGTGCCGAAGCGATTTTTGTGCAACAACTAGGAATATCATAAATCCCCGTCACGTGATCAACACAGTCATGTGACATCACAAAAATGCTGTAAAATAAAACCTGACTAAACTACTATCTCAAGTTGACTGCAATTTCAAACAAGTATTACATATTAAAATTAAAATTTAGCTCAGAATAAAATGTAGATTTTCAAGGCATTTTAAGCCTTCGGACAGCCTTATCATAACTGCGAAATATATAGAAGAAGCTTGATGGTTCGTGACATTCTCTCTTAAATACGAGTTGCAGAACTACAGATACTAATCATTAAAATAAGAAAAGTTTCATGACGAACGTTTAAGGGACCAGAGAGAACACTCTCGGACAAAATTTGTCGCTTTTTACAGGTTTCCATGGCAACGGTAGACATATTGGAACTGAACGACCTCACTGCACAACTACAACCAGTGATCGTCCTTTAAGGAAAGTTTCAGGAAGATTGTCCCAGCCATCTCCGAGAAACAGCCTGGATAAAAAAAACATGCGTACAATATCAATATGTCGTCCCCGACTTCGTTCGGGGCGACATAACTAGATACGATCTCGTTGCGAGCAACGAGTGGGTCTTCCGTCAAATTTTCGATGAAATTCATCAAAAGTAGGAATTTATCGTAATATCCGATTATCGTATTATCGGATCGACTTAAACAGCGTAAAATAGAATTCCGGTTAATCTGATCGACTTATATACCGACAAATAGGAATGTTCTAGAATAATGACGTCACATGCGCAATTAGGATGCGCGTACGGTTCAAATATTCAAAATGGAGGATATCAATATATAAGCTGTCATATCATTGGTTGACCAATCACAGCCATCGTTAAATGTCCGCCATTGTAACTAAATATAAGTTGTTTACTTCTAAAACGCGAGGACATGTTCTGTCAAAACAGAATGCTTATAGATATGAGCTAATAGTTTCTGAATTAGTGCATTAAAAATCACAAGAAATATACCGTTGGAAACCTCTCAAAAAGATCTATATGATATTTTAAAAAGTTTAAAAATCGGTCTAGAAATGAACCATATAGGACGTTTTACATACATCAAAGGATGTACATCGAAGATCAAAGAGATGTAAAGAGTACCGTACTAACCGCAAGATTGCAGATTGTTATGATAAAGTATTTGCTTCAGTAAAGAATCAAAATATTGCATTTTGGCCCCTCTAGGCCCCTAATTTGAGGGGCCAGCCCCTTTTTCTTGATATCAAAAGAAAGATCTTTTAAATTTGAATACATTTTGTGCAACAATTACTCAGAAATTGCTTTTTGTTTCCGAGATATGTAGAAAAGAAATATTTAGGAGCCAGCCCTCAAAGTCCTTAATGGGGCCATTTAGGAAAAATTCAAAGGTTGCATATTGTTTAGAACATTATTCTGAACATCTTTTGTTCAATATTGCTTTTCAAAATATTTCTCCATTTCAAGATACGAAGCGTCAAAGATTGAGCATTCTGGCCCCTTGTGGCCCCTAATTACGTAACATATGATCACAACATTATTATATATAGTTGCTGATTGTTAAGATAAACATATTTGCTTCAGTAATGAATAACAAAATATTGATCATTAAAGAGATATAGATTAAAGACTTTTGGCCCCCCTAGGCCCCTAATTTGAGGGGCCAGTCCCTTTTTCTTGATGTCAAAAGAAAGCTCTCATAAATTTGAATAATATTTGTTCAACAACTATTCAGAAATTCCTTTTCGTTTCCGAGATATGTATATAAGAAATATTTAGGGGCCAGCCCTCAAAGTCCTTAATGGGGTCATTTAGCAAAAATTCAAAGGTTGCATATTGTTTAGAACATTATTCTGAACATCTTTTGTTCAATATTGCTTTTCAAAATATTTCTCCATTTCGAGATACGAAGTGTCAAAGATTTAGCATTCTGGCCCCTTGTGGCCCCTAATTACGTAACATATGATCATAAAATTATAATATATGGTTGCATATTGTTAAAATAAACATATTTGCTTCAGTAATGTATAACAAAATATTTACCGTTTAAAAGATATTAAGAAAAGACTTTCTGGCCCTTTAAACCCTTAGTTAAAGGGGCCAGCCCCTATTTCTTGATTTCAAATGATAGATCTTTTCAATTTGCACAACTTTTGTTCAGTATGTTATAACAAATTATTCATAATTTAAAAGATATGATAAAAAATGTCGCTAAAAATCACTCATGATTCGCGTCCTAAATTTCGACCCCTAGCGAGCTTCCATACTAGACACTTCCGGAAAATTTGAAAACCCAGGTGCACAACTACAACATGTCCTCTATTATCACTGAAAATTTCAGTCCTATAGCTTTAGCCGTTTTTGAGTTCCATCGCAGACAAAAAGGTACCCCGAAAATCAATAAAAGGGCGATAACTTCTGACCGGAAGTAAATTTTCAAAAACGGAGTTGCCGGTACAAACTTCAAATGATTATACATTCTCTCTGAAAATTTGAAGAAAATCGGTCGAGCCATCTCCGAGAAATCTTCTGCACAAAATCGGTAAGGAGAAAAAAGAATAATAATAATAACTAGATACGATCTCGTTGCGAGCAACGAGTGGGTCTTCCGTCCAATTCTTGATAAGATGAGAAAAGATTTTGATTGAGATTTTCATTCAAAAATAATGATTTACCACAATCTGTAAAAAGACATTGAACATTAAAGACTTTAAAAATCGGCTTTTGGCCCCTAACGGCCCCTAATTTTAGGAATCAGCCCTTTTTCTTCATATCATCTTAAAGTTCTAAAGATTTTGATCACTTTTTGTTCAACAACTGTTAAGAAATTCTTTTCGTTTTTTGAGCTATTAGCAAAAGAAATATTTAGGGGCCAACACTTCAATTCCTTAATGGGGACGTTTAGCAAAAAATGAAAGGTTGCATATGTTCAGAACATTATTTTGAACATCTTTTGTTCAATATTGCTTATCAAAATATTTCTGCCTTTCGAGATATAAAGCATCAAAGATTTTGCATCCTGGCGCCTTGTGGCCCCTAATTATGTAACATACGACATAAAAATCATAATATATAATTGTAGATGGTTGAGATAAACATCTTTGCTTCAGAAATGTATTACAAAATATAAACTGATAAAGAGTTATCAATTGAAGACTTTTGGCCCCTCTTGGCCCCTAATTTGAGTGCCCAGCCCCCTTTTCAGGATTTCATCTTAAAGATCTTAAGATTTTGAACATTTTTTGTTCAACAACTGTTAAGAAATTCTTTTTCGTTTTTGAGCTATTAGCAAAAGAAATATTTAGGGGCCAACCCTTCAACTCCTTAATGGGGATGTTTAGCAAAAAATGAAAGGTTGCATATTGTTTAGAACATTATTTTGAACATCTTTTGTTCAATATTGCTTATCAAAATATTTATGCCTTTCGAGATATAAAGCATCAAAGATTAAGCATTCTGGCCCCTTGTGGCCCCTAATTATGTAACAAACGACATAAAAATCATAATATATAATTGTAGATGGTTGAGATAAACATCTTTGCTTCAGAAATGTATTACAAAATATAAACTGATAAAGAGTTATCGATTGAAGACTTTTGCCCCCTCTTGGCCCCTAATTCGAGTGCCCAGCCCCTTTTTCAGGATCTCATCTTAAAGATCTTACGATTTTGAACATTTTTTGTTCAATAACTTTTCAGAAATTCTTTTTCGTTTTTGAGCTATAAGCAAAAGAAATATTTAGGGGCCAACCCTTCAACTCCTTAATGGGGACGTTTAGCAAAAAATGAAAGGTTGCATATTGTTTAGAACATTATTTTGAACATCTTTTGTTCAATATTGCTTATCAAAATATTTTTCCCTTTCGAGATATAAAGCGTCAAAGATTTAGCATTCTGGCCCCTTTTGGCCCCTAATTATGTAACATACGACATAAAAATTATAATATATAGTTGTAGATGGTTGAGATAAACATCTTTGCTTCAGTAATGTATTACAAAATAT